TTACGTTGAGCTTTTTAATTGACAAATAGATTGATAACATCATCATAGTTCAATTTATTGGTTAGATCTGACTCAATTGTTAAAATTGCTGAGCAATTTAAACGTTCTTTAATTGTTTTGAACCTGAGGTATGATTTAATTCTTTTCAAAACTGAAAAAGACCTTTCCGCTGAACAATATAAAATAGGGCAGCAGATATTCTTAAGGCAATTTCAACATATGGATATAACTCTTCACATTCATTATCTATAATTGTTGAATACATTTTAACTATTGTATCGGAAAATTCATCATCAGGCAACGACAATAAAAAAAAACTAAAACGAACGCTTTGAAAATAAAATCTTCTTTGTAAAATTTCTGTAAGTTTTCAGCTTTTCATAAATTTCAGTACTTGATAATTTAGTGATATTAAAGAAGAAAGAAAATTTTTCACTAACCTGTTCATATGCTATTACTTGTTTATTTAATTCCAAATTAAGTCGATCTATGATAACTAAAAATGTATTTATTATGAAATTCTGTCTACCATTAAGTTATGATTCACCTTGTCTTGTCTCATAAACCATTAATTTTCTCTTTTTTTTCCGCAGTGTTTTTTCTTAATAATCTTTAATCCCTGACTTTTCTTTTGTTTTTGATATAACTTTTGTATTTCATATAAATCAAATATTTCTCTTAGACTAGAAACATATTGAATTTGTGATCTGTATAAAATAATAACAGATTCCAAATCAATGTGAATTTTTTACTTGTTAAATAGAATCTTTCCATTATGTCACCCCATATATGAGCCTTTAAAGCAGTTTTTAAGCTATTCAATTTAGTTTGTAAACCTTTAGCTTCACACCTTGTACTAAGCTTTTCAGTTGTATCATTGTTAATATCAGTTTAAGTCAATATTATTTCATTGCAATTTTTATTAAGACTTATACATGCCTTGTGCCTGGCTGACCATCTCACATCAGAAAGATTTTTCAATGACACATTTTCTGGTTTAGTAAAATTATTTTTTAATTTTTTCTATCGATGAGTTGAGATACTAAAAATATTGAATAGGTTTTGAAGAAGACAGAAAAATTCAACTGCACTTTTACAAGAGTTAACTGCACATTCTCCAACTAAATTCAGAGAATGTACAAAGCATGCAATAAATTGAGCTAATGGGCAGATCTCTTTGATACTCGCTTGATGTTCCGAATAAACACCTGCCATATTTGCTGTGTTATCATAAGACTGTCAATGGCAATCACTTATGTTAAGTTCATGAGATTCTAAGGCAAGAAATAATGCATCAGCTAAATCTTTGGGATTATGTCCAGAGTTTGAATGAAAACATAAAAATCTTTCAACGGGTAACCCGTCTTTGACATATTTAAATATAAAGGACAATTGGTCAACATGTGCTATGTCAGGCGTGGAATCTATACTAATTGAAAAATATTTACTTTCTTTGATTTCTTTTATAACTTTTTTTACAACTTGATCAGCCATTATTTTAATGAATTCTTCATAAATTTGAAATGATAAATAGGAAGTAGAACCTTTTCCTTTATTTCCATATTTTTGAGTATGTTTAGCTAAAAATGGAACGAGTTTTTTTTTTTTTTTTTTTTTTAATTTCGCTTACATTAAAATGTGACAGCACAATTATATGCTATATATATGGTGTTACAATTTAAAAAATTCCAATACCAGTTTAATTAAAATAAGAAAAACGCTCACATATATAAATATAAGCATATATACACTTACAGATGTATAGATGCACATATATAAATTGCTAACAATTAAACATAAGCTAAGATCTGAAAGAAGATCACAAGATCTTGTCGTCAGAACCTTATAAAATACAAGCAAGCAAAATAGAGACAAGTATAACATACAAAAAATAAAGGGAAATTAAAAAATAAAAAAGTAATAAAACCCAAGTCAAATAACAATTTTCAAAAAATCAGGAGGTTTACTATACTAGGTTTGGAAAATAAAATAAATTCAGTTTTTTCTACATTTAACGAAAGCCTATTGCTAGTAAACCAATCGTTTATTTTGAATAGTTCTTCATTAAATATATTAAAGAGAGCTTTTATATCTTTGTTGGAATAAAAAAGATTGGAGTCATCTGCAAACAATATAACATTTAAAATATTTGATGCTAAGTAAAAATCATTTATATACAATAAAAATAATAATTGACAGTGAATTTAAAGTCAGTAAAGTTTTTGAAGAGCATTTGGGATTAACAAATATTCGGATTGAAAGAGCTCATAGAACTGGCCAGAGAGATATGAGCAAACCAAGAACAATTGTAGTAAAACTGTTAGATTATAAAGATAAAGTTGAAATTAAAAAAAACAAACATCTCAATTAAAAGGTAAAAATATTTATATTAACGAAGACTTTTGCGCCGAAACTGTCACAATTAGGAAAGCTCTATAGAGTAAATAAAATACCCGTTATATTTTTAAAAAACATAACGGGAGTTTTCCTCGCACATAACGGGTAATTGCCGTAATGTTTAATACTTAACATGTATGAAAATAACATAACGGTTTTTGCGTTATGTTTAGTCATAGCAAAATTGCCTTAAACATAACGGTTACATAACGCTAATTTACCGTTATGTGCGAGGAAAACTTATGCGGTAGCGGCGTAGTGGTAAAACACTCGCTTCATAAGCGAGAGGTGAATAAAAAGGAGGTGAATAAAAAAAAAAAAAGTTAAATTCACCTTGAGGAGGTGAATAAAAAAAAAAAAAAAAAAATCACCCGTTATGTTACCGTTATGTTGAAAACCTAACATAACGGGTAATTACCCGTTATATTACCGTTATGTAAAATGGAAATTATCTTCTTAAAGAAACGCATAATTCTACATGACGCACAAAGTACTTGACAAAAAAACATTTTTTTGTCAATAAAAGTTGTAAGAAGAAAATAAAAATTATACAGTTTCATATCATAATATATTTATATTATACTATTTATAATAATCATAAAAATTATTTACAAAATAATTGAATAAATTATTTACAAAATAATTGAATAAAATAACTTATTAAAATTTATAAATTCAAAAGTAATTTGCGTTGCTTTGAAAAGATTGCAGAAGAAAAATGCATTTTTTCGATAATAAAGCCAATTGCAAAATATCTCAAATATCTTGCTAACATCCCAGAAGCCGCCCAAAACAAGAATATGCCAAATCTAGCAAATAGTAAACAACCATCAAAACAACCACTATATGTACTGATCAAGGGCTGAACATCCATTTCGACACCTCTTTAACTCCTTACATCATATTCTGCTTTATTAAAGATAACTTGCGGACCATATAAACTTTGGCAAGTATTCATGTAGTGAATTACACTAAAATTTTATAAATAAAAAATAATTATCACAATCATAAAATAAAAAATTATTATTAATACATTAAATGGAAAAAAAGAAAAAAGAATGTGAACCATTGCAATACAAAATATGCTTACCATTAGTTAAAATGTCAGCAATATTACAAGAAAGAACAATTTTTTTTCCCCAAGAAATTTGACAACAACAGCCTTTATTATTTTCAACTATTAACTATTGAAGAAATAAGTAAAGCAGTTATTATTAGTTTATACTACTTTAATTTTACAAATAGTATATTTAACATTTTTTAATACTTGCAATACAAAATTAATGTTAAAAACAGTAATAATAAACAGACAGGTCAGACGGTAAGAGGTAAACACCATTATTACACAAGTATTAAACAACATTATTTGGCACAATTTAATTAGTTTAATAATACTACACTAACTTATATTATATTACTAGAAAAAATTTATCATAAAAATATCATATAATATATTACAATAATCATACTATTATAGTATAAAGTTTATATATCATAAGCATATAATAGGGTCATTCCATATAAGATGAGCCAAGCCTTCTCGGGTGACAATGTTTTATTTTCTTGAAATGTATACCTCCTGTAGTTTTTATGGACCAAAAATATTTCTTCAGAATTTCAACTTAATAACAAATATTTTTTCTTTCAAAATAATTTCAAATATTAAAGACTTAGTCTATTTCAGGGAACTTATTGGTCAATTTACAGACGAAAATTGGCACAATAAACAGTGAATTAAAAATTTGAAATTTTTAGGCATGCATCTTCAATACAAGAAGTATAAATGCAGCATAAACAAATTTGGTGTTTTTTGTGGTGCTGAGATATCTGAACAAAATAGCATTATAAAACTCAAAATTCACTATTTTGAATCTGTTTTATAGCCAATATCTCTAAGAGGGATCAATTTCCATTTTTCCGATCTTCAAATAATTCCTCAAACTAACCTAATATAATAAACCTGATAATAAACCTGATTGCCCAAATCTGCAAATATCTTGGAAACATCCCAGAAGCTGCCCAAAACAAGGATAAGTTAAATCTAACAAATAAACAGCCATCAAAATGACATTATATATATTATAATTATATATATATATATATATATATATATATATATATATATATATATATATATATATATATATATATATATATATATATATATATATATTATATTTATATATATTATAATTATATATATATATATATATATATTATAATTATATATATATATATATATATATTATAATTATATATATATATATATATATATATATATATATATATATATATATATATATATATATATTATAATTATATATATATATATATATATATATATATATATATATATATATATATATATATATATATATATATATATATAAATTGCTTCCAAGTTTTAAAAATATCTATATATCTCCAGATTTAACAGATGCTGAACATCAACAGGATTTCATACTCAGAACTGAGCGAAATAAACTTAATAATGCCCTTAAGGAGACAGACCCCTTTTGGTATGGTATCCGTGGAAGTCAGATACAAAAATAAAAAATAAAAACCAATCGAAGTTAGGCAGTAAGGCTAATTGTCTGTTATCTATGAATAATATTGAAAAAATAAGTTGCATGTACCTTAATGCCACATCTCTTGACAACAAATTTGATGAATTTAAATTAGTAGTTGCAACTTACAATCCTAAAATTATTAGCATTACTGAAACATGGTTCAAACCTAATTCTCTCTGCAATTTGGAGGGTTATTGTTTATATAAAAAAGATAGATGTGATGGTTGTCGAGGTGGAGGTGTATGTATTTATATTGATGCTAAAATTACTTCTTATGAACTTAACGATAATGCATTTACATTAAGTCAAATAGAACATGTCTGGGCTGTAATCCAATTCGGCAATGATAAATATCTTATTGGATGTATTTATAGACCTTATGATTTCACGGATATGACAGATATTAAAAACGTATTTAAAAATGCAAGAGAATATGTTGACCAAAAAGGTTTCAAAGATCTTATAATAGTTGGTGATTTTAATTTTCCTGGGATAAGCTGGTCCAATGGTTCTATAAACTCTATTAAAGGATCATCAGATATTGAGCATGTTTTCTATCAAATAATAAATGACAATTACCTATATCAGCATGTAAACTTACCAACCTTTTAAACAACAAATAAATCTGCTGTAAACATTTTAGATTTAATATTCACTACTCAGTCTGCAAATATAACTGCCATCAATAATAAATTTGTTTTAGGAAACTTATCCAGAGGTCATTTAATAATGTGTTTTGATTTTATTCTTAAAAACAAAACAATGAATGTAAATACAGAGGGAAATAAATTTTTATATAGAAAAGCAGATTATAAAAAGAAAAGCAGATAGTATTAGTAGTTTCCTTACAAGTGTTGATTGGCTTCAATGTTTTCATGCCAAAAATGTTCAAGAAATGTATGATGAGTTAATTCATTACACTGAAGAAGCATGTAATTTATATGTACCTATAAACACTTTGTTTGTAAATTCATCATCAAAGAACCCGTGGCTTACCAAAGAATTAATCTCACTCATTAGAGAAAAACGAAACTTAAGATACAGAAATTGTTTGAGTAAATGGAAAAACTCAAATCTTTGTAAACAATATAAAGAATTATCAAAAAGAGTTTCATTTGAAATTTCCATAGCAAGACGAAAGTATGAGTTAATGATTGTTGATAAAGCTAAAAAGAACCCAAAACTATTATATAGATATATGAATTCACAACAATATGTTAAAGACTCTATAAAAGCTCTGAGACAACCAAACGGTGAAATAACTCAAGATTCAGAAAAGATTGCTGATCTACTGAACATAAATTTTCAAAACGTTTTTGTCAAAGAAAATAATAAGCGCACTCCATTATTTAAAAATAGAATCAATGATAACACCTTTAATCTATCTTCTGAAGATATCCATTATGATGATGTCCTTGAAAGGCTAAATAATCTTGATCAAAACAAAGCGTATAGAGTTGACAAGTTACATCCATCTATATTGAAAAACTGTGCTATTGCCTTCGCTCTTCCTCTCACAATAATTTTTATGGAATCAATAGAAAAAAGTCAACTACCAAATCAATTTAATTCAGCAAATATAACTGCACTATATAAAAAAGGTGACAAGACTGATTCTGGAAATTATAGACCTATATCACTACCTTGTATTACTTTTAAAATACTTCAAGGCATAATAAAAAGAAATTTAGAAAAATATCTTTATGAAAATAATATTATAGCTAATCAACAGCATGGGTTTGCTAAAAACAGGTCATGTACGACAAATTTACTTGAAACTTTAGATTATATTACAAGAAATGTTGATCAAGGAATTCCTGTTGATGTAGTTTTACTTGATTTTAAAAAAGCATTTGATAGCGTTCCCCATCAAATTCCCCATCTCAAAACTTAAAGCATATGGTGTTAGTGGCTTGGCACTTGATTGGTTTCGAGCTTTCTTATCTAATAGAAGGCAGAGAGTCGTTATAGGAGATTATGTTTCAACTTGGGCTGAGGTGCACAGCGGAGTTCCCCAAGACTCAGTATTGGGTCCACTACTTTTTATACTCTATATAAATGATCTTCCAGAGTCTGATGACACAAAAATCATGTCAATTAGTTCTTCTGATGAGTTACATAATAAACTACAGTGCGATTTAAACTCTGCATATGCTTGGAAACAAGACTGGCTGCTTAGTTTTAATATTGAAAAGTGTCTAGTTATGCACTATGGCTATAAAAATAAGAGATATCCAATTTATATAAATGTTTGTAAACTCAATACATCAGAAAGGGACCTAGGAGTGATTTTTTCAGATAACTTGATGTGGAAAAATCAAGTATTATCGAGTGCAAGCAAAGCTAATCGCATGTTGGGCATAATAAAAAAATCTTTTGTTCGATTTGATGCTGAACTGCTTAAATCCCTATATCTTTCATTTGTTCGACCGCTACTTGAGTTTGCTATACCAGTATGGGCTCCTTAGCAAAAACAAGATATAATCATTTTAGAAAAAGTACAGCGTCGTCCCACTAAACTAATACCTCAAATCAGTAAATTATGCTATGAAGATCGACTTGCTTATTTTAAAATACCCTCACTTATTAAAAGAAGACAACGAGGAGACATTATACAACTATATAGAACTATACAACTATATTTAGCTGGAATTATACAACTATATTTTCAAAGGTTATGATAAAGTTGAATTTAAAGAAATTTATTCATTTAAATCAAATTGTACTCATGGCCATAGCCTGAAATATTCTAAAGAATTTTCAGTACATAAGTATAGAGACAATAATTTGCTTAATCGAGCTGCAAATTATTGGATTGCACTGCCGGAAAATATTGTCAGGGCTACTTCAACGAATTCATTCAAAGCAAAACTTGATCGATGGGAGTCAAACCATCACGGGATTCAGCTGTCTTAGTATGCTTAAAACCACACTCATTGGTATCAATACCAGTCACAGCATAAACTAATACTAATACTAATACTATATATATATATATATATATATATATATATATATATATATATATATATATATATATATATATATATATATATATATATATATATATATATATATATATATATATATATATATATATATATATATATATATATATATATATTAACAATAGATGCCAAGGCATTTATTGTGAGCAATCAAAACATACCAATCAGTTAACATACGGTTAACGCTAACATACGGTGAACATAACGCCAAAATTTTCAATTACCGTTATGTAACCTTTATTTTAGCGTTATGTTTTTTGCTGTGTACGAACAGATGAAGGTTGAACGAGCGGCTGGGAAATTTTACGATAAGTTGGTTATTCGGGATTGGGCTGCAAACTAAAGTAAAAATTTTTCTTTGTAACATATTTATATATTCTACAATTTTATTTTACTTTTTTTATATATTACTTTGTTTAATTATACTAATTTTTCTCTTAAAAATGGAGGCCAATTTTTCACTTAATTTAAATGATGAGAATGCTAGTGATGATAACTATTTAAATGGAAAAAATTTAGAAAGCGAGTATTATTCAATTTCTGAATCTACTCAATATCTCTGTCAGAACAAAAACACATTTTCTATTTTAAATGTAAACACTCGAAGTATAAACAAAAATTTTGAAAATCTCAAACTTTTACTGCATCAACTAAACCACGAATTTAAAATAAAATACTTGGCTTAAAACCAACGAAAAAAATTCAAACTTTGAGTTAGGTAATTATGTATCAGTTCAAAAACCACGTTTTAACTATGCTGGTGGTGGTATAAGTATTTTTGTCCACAAATCAATTAGCTTTATTCTACGTCCTGACCTCAATATTAATGAAACTGATTGTGAGTCATTGTGCATAGAAATTATAAACAAAACCACCAAAAGTATTGTAATTAATTCTATTTATAAACAACCTTAGAAAATTTAAAGCTTATTTAAACAGTTTTTTAACCAAAACTAGCATAACACGGAAACATGTTTACTTAGCCGGTGATTTTAACTTAAATTTACTAAATTATGCTTCAAATACAAATGTTCAACATTTTCTAGATACTTTTATAGAATATAACCTAATACCAACAATAAATAAGTCAACGAGAATAACTAAGACCTCATCGTCACTACTTGATAATATAATTACTAACAATTTTCAAAACTGCCGTTTAGGATCAGGCATAATTAAAACTGATTTAACTGATCACTTTCCAATATTCTTAATTACTGATAACATAACCCTAAATAATGTCCCTTCGAACACTACAATCTTAACACGACAGATCAATGAAAACTCCTTATTGTATTTTTGAACTCTTTTAACAAAAAATATCGATTTGAATGTTATTTTACAATCCCATGAAGTCAATACTGCATATGAGCTATTTTTAGCACAGTTCTGTAAACAGTATGACATAGCATTTCCTGTTAAAAAAATTGTTATAAAATCCAAGTCTCTTTCCCAGTGGGCACACGACGGAAATAAGACGTCTTATGTACGTTCAGTTCACGTCCGCTCGATTTATTCCCAATATGAACTATAATAAGACGTCTTTTTCTCATCCGTTCCGAAAATAAGAAAATTTATCACTTTCAGATTTGAAAAACCTTTTTATTATGTCTAATGACGCAAAATGCCATTATTAAAATTATTAAAAGGTGTTTTAGTAATGGCGCCATTATTAAAAGGTAGAAGCGGTTAGGGTAAACTGACCAAATTCCAGCCACATTTTAAATTTATTATTTCTGTCTTGTTTTCTGCTTTATGTTTGTAAATGCTACTTTTTTGAGACTGGTATGAATTCAGCCAATAAAAAAAAGCATTGTTATAGTTGGCGGCTGTTTATAATAGAAGTAACATCATAAAAAATATTTATCTCAAAAAAGTACTACTTTATATTTAAAATATCATGTAAGCATCCAGTTTGAAGCTTATAAATATTAAATATTTATTACTTAACGAAATGTTAATTATTTTAAACTATAAATATATTTCTTAAAAAGACAATTTTAGCTTTATAATTATGTTGAGTCATTACTATAGATTGTATTTCTTAATTAATTGCACCTGGTAGAAAGACCAAAATCCGGCCAGGTATAAACCTTATTCCGGCCAAGGCCGAAATTAGGTTCACGAGTGTCTAAAAGTAACTCATACTTGTATGATATTTATATTATTAGATTTTATTCTTTTAATATAAGTACTTTATGTTACATTTATGTCCTAAAAGTTATCAATCTTAAATATTTGCATTTATTTAGTTAAATATTTATATAATATTTTTAAAATTTGAGGATGATGACTTAAAAATAAACAAAAGTCTAAATAATTGAAAGATATTATATTGTTTCATGTAAATTATTACTTATAAATGAAATTATATTAAAAAATAATCTTTAATTGAAAATTTTAATAATTTATAATATAAAGTTTTCATTTTAGAATGGCTGATAATAAAAATAAAATTTATAATAAGAAACAATGTCATCCAACTCGAGGTAAATATATGAAATATAAAGAGGAAGTGTTACTTGAAGCTATAAACAGTGTTATTAGTTCACCTAAAATGTTTGTTAGAGCTGCTGCTAAATTTTTTAAAGTACCCCGAGCAACTTTGCAGAGCAGGATAAATGGAAAAGTTGAGATTGGTGCAAAAGCAGGAAGAAAAAGTTTAATGCCGCTTGATCTTGAAAAAAAGTTACTCGATTTTGCAGACAACAGAGCTAGGATGGGCATTGGTTTTGGAAAAGAACAATTCTTGGTATATGCTGACAAGCTTGCCAAAAAATATGGATATTCTTTTAAGAATGGCAAACCATCTAATAAATGGTGGCGACTACTTAACAATCGACATAACAAAAAAGTAACTCTTCGACAACCAGAATCAACACATCAGTTCGTCATCAATGCATGAATCTGATAAAGGTGGCAAATTTTTTTACTGCATTTAAAGAAGTCATTAAAGACTGTCAGCCTGAAGTAATATGGAACATGGATGAGACAGGACTGCAGCTAGACTTTAAGGCGCACAAAATAGTTGCTGCAAAAGGTACAAAATATTTACATATGAGAACAAGTGGAAATCGAGAAATGATTACTTTAATTGTTTGTGTGAATGCAGCAGGAAGAGCCTTACCACCTCATGTGATTCCAAAAGGAAAGATAGTAAAATCCCTTCAAAGTTTTCAAGTTCTAGATGCCCCTGAAGGAACCAACTGGAGTCCAAGTGAATCTGGATGGACTAAACAAGGGATTGAAAAACTATGGTTTGAGCTTACATTTTTAAAAAACATTGGACCACAACGTCCACAAGTTTTAATTTTAGATGGCCACGATTCCCATAATTTCGTAGAGTTAATAGATATGGCCATACAAAACCGAATTGAAATTGTTGAATTACCTGCTCATACAAGCAATTGGCTTCAACCTTGTGATCGAACTGTATTTAAGCCATTCAAAGTTTCATACAATAAAGCAGCCCAGGATATGATGTCTAATCACCCTGGGGTTATAATAAACAAGGCCAATTTTACAGGACTTTTAACCAAAGCCTGGAATAAAAGTATGACAAAAGCTAATATTGAATCTGGCTTTAATTCATGTGGAATCTTTCCATATAATCCTTCAATTATTCCAGCTGAAGCTTACTTGCCAAACTATGTGTATTCTGAAGACAGGTTAATGACTAATCTCTTTGATCAAATTAAAACAGTTGATAATACAACAATAGTTAAGCAGATTAAGCAAACAACAGACAGCACAAAAGTACTTTTACCAGATATTGAGTTGGAACAACATCTAATTACCAACCCAAGATTTGCTGTAGCAAATGATCACGACTATTTAGCTGAACCAATAACCGTAGTAGAACATAGGAGTGATGATTTAGTGGAACTAAATATGAAAACTATAGAACTAAAAGCTGCAAGTAATAAAGCTACTAGTAAGTTTCAAGACAGCTTTAGGATTATGTCTTACTCTGAAATTGAACAGCCTATTGATCAGCATGAAGTTGATTTTACAGTTTCAACTCTTTTAGCTTCTGATTTTGCAAAAACTAGATCTTTTGCCCCAAATTTCCCCTTTAAAAATTCATCTTATCCAGGAGATGGAGATAATGACATTTTGCCATATTCTTATCCAAATTTTACAAAGAGCAAAAAAGCTAAGAATGCAGACAAGTTTTTTGTGCTTACTTCTAAGGAAGCATACACAGCTAAAGCAGAAGCAAAAACAAGCTCAAAATGAAAAGGAAAAAGAAATGCGTAAATTGAAAAGACTACAAAACTTAAAAATAAAGGAAGCAACGGTATTGTCAAAAGATAATCCTAGAAAAAAACCGTTGCTATAAAAATGAACCAATAAAAGTATAAAAAAGCAATGTGTAATTTGATCATGTTGTTATGAATTTTTGTTCTTAGTGTTTAAAAAAGTCTTTTATAGAGTTCACTTAAAAAGTGAATATTATATTCACTTAAAAAAGTGAATATAATATTCACTTTTTTAATGTGAATATTATATTCTATGCAAATCTTTTAAAATAGTTTCATAATCATTTTTGAATAGTTTTAAAATCATGACCTGAAAACTTATTTTTTTTAGATTTAGGCATCCTTACTAAGTTTATTTGTTGATGAATGCTTAGTATTAAGTTAAGCAATCATTTTCTAACTGATGTTTAAGATCACATCAAAAAAGTTATTGGTTCAATATTTAGTAATTCAATTAATTTTAAAATATTTGAAATGCCAACCCATAAAAGTATTATAAAAAGCTTGTTATTTATATTGGCTGTAATTAGGTTCATTCCGCATACGCCTGACTGAAATTTGGTCATAGTGGCTGTATTTTGGTCAAATTTATGTACTTTTTGTAATCGTTGTTTTATCAAACATTTTTTATTTATAATAATTGCTG